TTATAATATTTAACGTACGAAACTTGGAGAGCAGCCAAATTTTACCAAAGTAGAGAGTCCGGACGGCAAAAACTGAGTTTTCAAGGCTCACCATTGTTCCATCATCGTAACCTTACAAGGGCCCAAAGCAGTCTCACGATGCAAATACAAAGTGAGCACATGGGGCTCAACTCGTATTTACATAGAAGAAAAGTACCCGAAGTATTAAGTCCAGCCTGTCCATGTGGCTACCAATCACAGAACCCCAAGCAGATGATTATGTCCTGTCCTAAGTGGTCAATTGGTAGAGAAGAAATCGACTTTTTGCTTGATCGTCGACTTTATATATTGGTCTATTATCATAGACACGTAAATAGATTCATGATTGCTTAATAAGAGGCTAGGATTGATTCCGATACACTTTGGTCTATGTTTGGATCCATAGTAGCCTATGGTATGTAGATAGCTTAGGCATCAAGGTTAAGCGTGGCGTGCACGGGCACCTACGTGAATACTGATATGGATCCCTCATCATGTAGATAGATTAGAGACAACCAATACACAACCATTTCACACCAGTATTCATGCATATGCTAGAAACCTAGGCCACCGAGTGCCACCAACAGTTTAAGGCATGTCCCACAATTTAGAGGCTACAATATCTTTACTTATCTACGTATTTACCCCCATATTCACCATATCCGCTAGCCATTCTATACCTAGCGTGCATAGCCTGATTTATCTCATGGTTCTATGTTGGAGCTGTAGTTTCCGAATAGCTTTATTCTTTTAGCTACTACAATACGTTGCAACTTTTGTTATACTTTACCATGCGATATTTCCACCTGAGCTACATGCCTCCTTGATATGCTGCTGGCTCGGGGATCAGCGAGATAACCGAAGCCAAACCTTAATAATAACCTGAATTACGAACCCACGAATACCTAAGACAGAAGCCTGCAATCTAACACAATTAGCTTAGAAATTGCCAACTACAACCTAATTCAAACAAGGAGGAATCTGGAGACAAGCCCGAAATCGCTCCTTTGAAGCAATGATCAACAATCCTAGCGATATTGAGTGAATTACGCAATGGATTCTTAGTCATGGTTGGATGGATCAATTCCGCATGACAAATGCAGTCGAAATGCTGATTAGGGAACGAGGCAGGACTGGCACAAGGTTGGGGTCGTTAGAGGGGACGTGATTGATAGGTACAGCCGGCACAAAAATGTAACTCTGCTTCCTGAGGGATAAATTGCGAATTTCAAAGATACAAATCAGAAAGCTGGGAAAGTTTTCACCGAAAGGTTCCCTCCTTTGTAAATATATAGATAGGTTTATAGCTACCTGCATGGGCCCATAGGGCGCCAAATCAGGATAATGAAATCAAATAAAAGCAAAGAAATAAAATTGGTTGAGAGAAATTAATTACATCACCTTAAAGCTCTCAAGCTTTTATCACATGACCAGCTATTAAATGCATAAACTCCTTGCGCTGAAGCAAGAGCCCAAGATATGATGGGATTGAAGATCTGAGACCTGTAGAGCTGTACTTGGTACTGCCCGAAGTGGAAATAGAAAAGTGGTCGAGGGACTTTTCTTCTCCGCATGAGCAGGTTAGAATGGCGTTTTCGTACTGAAACCGTCGGTGGAAGTCTGTGAAATCACCATGTCCAGATCGTGCAGCTAGTAGATATCCCAATGTGCGTCGCCCTAGACGAGCGAGCTCGATGGTGATCTTGGTATTGGGACCAATACCTACTTCTTTATTTCTTGACGGCGCATTTTCGGTCCAATGGAGTGCAATGGAAGCCTCGTATTGGGCTTTGACTTCCCTTCTTGCTCTCGATATATAGAGTGCCAAGTGTGGAGCTGGAGCCTCAGAGGCGGCTTTGGCGAGCGCGTCGGCAACTTCGTTTTCAACAATGTCCGCGTGGCCAAGGCACCATCGGATAGCCACTTCCCCAGGCGTCGTGTTTTGGCCACGTGACCTTATTTTCTAGATTGCTGCAAGCTTGCGAAAGAGAAAGATTTTCGCTGAGCTAGACGCTGTGGGAACATCAGAGAGAAGACGGAGTGCGGCTTCCTGGTTGTCAAGTCAAACGGTGAAGTTGGTGGCATGGAAAGCCAGTAGGTTGATGAGTGCTGCAGTAAGGCCTTCCGTGGCCCCGGCGATTTTAGCGTCATTGACTTCCGACGAGTTTCCGAGCGAGAGTGATCCTCGCCCGGTCTCCTGCATGAGTCCTCGATAGATGACGTACCCTGCTCCTGCTCCCGCTCAGTCTTTTATGAGTGCTCCATCTGAGAATACGAACAAACCTAGGATGGATCGTGTAGGCTGCCATTATGTGAAGGGATTTGATCCAGAGAGTCTACCTACTGCTCTGATTTCTATTGGCTTTTCTTCACGGGGTGTCGACCACGGTGGTAGGATGTTGTCTTCAGAAAGTTCTGGCAAGATTCTTTGGCAGATCCAGCGCATAAGACAAGACTCATCGCCTTCGGAGAGGATGGTACGAGTCAGCTGCAGTGATTCGGACCGCAAGATGACTGTAAATTCTGTTAAGCCACGTCTGAGCTAGGTCCCAGCCAGCTTCCCATAGAAGTACTGCTATTGGTGTAGTGCGATAGACTGGGAGAGCTGCCCAAGCTGCGTCTTTCATCCTGTATTGGAGTCGCGAGATGGTCTTTTGAGATGTCTAGAATACCAGGTCTCGGCTCCATAGATTAGATTAGATTTTATTATAGTCATGTCTGAGTCTATGACTATGGAGGACTTCCAGCATCTATATGAAGAAACTAATTCTACATGATTTTTTTAATCCTTAAAAATTTGAACTATTTTCTCGTAGACATTGAGGATCAAGTCCTTTGGCTCCGTAGGAAAGGGTCGCAAATACGGCACCATGCAGAACTTGTCGTAGAAATAGATGGCTAATTCCTCAATTCGTCGTCGTCGAGAGTCTTTTCAAAAGACTGGTGATAACTAGTGACATTCGGCAAGCCTGTAGGGTATAAGGTTGGAACCGGTGGTCACTTTGTAGGTCTTAGAGTTGGTAATTGTTGAAAAATGCTGCTTAGTCAGTTGAGTGATTCGTGTAGTGTTGGAATCAGGCATATCACGTGATGTACTGTAACAGTACATAATAATTAGCTAGTCATAACACAATGAAATCTTCATGCTTCCTCATTACAATTCGATTTAACTCCCTCACCCTCTGTATTTAAAACAAACATATTTTCTCTTATTTTTACTGCACTACTATATATATTCTCTATATACCTTATCTTACACTTTATCTATCCTCGCCACTTTGACTCCACTTTCTCATTATCCTAACAGTAATGTGAGTTGACAGTAGTCACATGACTTAATGCGGAATGCCATGTCGCTCATATAGCAGACACGCCCGCAAGTTAATAGAACAACAATCATCACATCATCGAGAGACCCATTGCGTACGCGTACGCGTGTATATTAGCGACCGACAATATGAGTTGTTGTCTATGTATATCGAACTAACTACATGATGAGGGATCCGCATGAGTATTCACGCGGGTGCCCGTGCGCACTGTGTGTTACAGGTTTACCCGCTACTGGTTGTTTGGGCTGACCTGGGTGCCCAGCCTTGCATATAATTCGGACGTAGCGAAAGGCTGGGTCTTTCGCACAGAACAAGTTCTCTCTATAGTACTTATGTAAGGTAATCGTCAAGGAGCACTTTGTGTCCGCAAGATCCAGTTGTAGTTATCTCTCCCATAGAAGAATATTAATTATTAATGGTATTGCTTGCGTGCGCTGACTGTCTGCTTGAACCATTCACACTGTGCTTAATTTAACTGCCTAAAGCATCAGACTACCATGAGGCTGCCATGGGTCCAATAACTATCAACTGTAAAGGGACGAGAATCACGGACGCTGCACGCAAAGGCTGTCACAAAATAACCTATATTTTCTATGAAGAGAACACTTCAGTGGGACAGAACCAATGTAAGGTGTGTGCTGATGACCACCTTACATAAGCACTTACTAAGCGTCTAACCTGTTCCAATAGACAGGCCTATTTGCCACATCCCACTTACATGCAAGGCTGGGCCCGTAAGTCAGCCCAGCCAACTAACACCGGGTAAAACCCGTAACATCAACTAAAAATATTAAACGTGATTCCCTCTTGAAATGAACATGTTGTTATGAAAACATGCCATCTACGTTCATGATTGACTCTCGGGTCTGTGAGAGCATTTAATATCCGAATTTCCAGATAAGGACACATGCTCATGTATCGTATTCGCCGTCTCTGTACTATAATTCACGATATATCCAGCTCGCAAACGTCTTACGCTCAATGTCGTCTGAGCTTGAGTTATCCCAATTTATTAAAATAATATACGGAACTAGAATTCCATTGGTTTACAGTTTTGTTTCGGCCCTTGATTAACTATCCCTCTGGCTGGTCTAATCTAATTTGAAACTTGGCGTTTATTTCACATTAGATTCAGGGGAGATTAATGATGATAGAAACGCTGAAGTTCGACTAGTGTCTGTTCGCACAGTTTATCACGAAAAATTGAAAATGTCGGTCGGCAACTTACACGTGTGCGCGTACGCAATGGGTCTCTTAATGATGTGATGATTCTTCTTCTCTCACTTGGATGCAGGCGTGTCGGCCTTAAGCGCGACACGCCAAGCTGCACCAATCCACGTGACTATCTAACTATCAACATATTGTGATCTCTCTCTTGACCCATGGACATCCCAAAATAGTGTTGCGACAGAAAATCAATTTTCCTGTTTGGTCACTCGGTTACGTATGAATACCATCTACGACAGATGATATTAAATCATTGAAGGCAGAATGACGGCAAAGCCTGAATCTGCTAACAAGAAGATGTAGGTTGATTAAGGGTTTTAATTAGTTTTCTTGTCTGTAGCCATCTGCAGAGAGATATCTACGCTGTATGTCTCAAGACCGGAGTTTGGTTAGTTCTTGTGAATCACAGATAACAGCTCAGTCCCATCAGATTTCGGGCCCGGTGCATGGATAAAAGCTTTGTCGTTCACTACCTTTGGAAGAAGCATAATACAGTCCACTAAATATTTTATTACTGTTAAATCCTATGGCGTATATATTACGGGTAAATTTTCCTATCTAGTTAATATACTCTAGGTAAACTGGAGGAGCTACTTACTTTTTGAAAATCTCTCAGGTGATAATATGAGCCACAGCATCAAATCCTCATTTTGGTGGATTAGGGCGTTTTCTATACTTGTCGGTGATTTTTCCTGTAGACTATAGAAGTAATTAAGATAATTTTGAAGGGCAATCATCGTGAATGTTACTTGATTGCAATGATACATTTGACCACTTTCTCGATTTTGATTCTGAGGATTCAATAATGGGTTTATACTAATGTCTAATGATGGCTTCGGAGTCCATACTTCTAAGCATGCAGGTTTTGGAGGGGCAGCCCGCACCGCCGGCTTAATTTGAATCAAATGGCATTGGAGAGTAATTTCTACCTGGTAGACAGCTCGCCGATCTATTAAAAAGATATCAGAGCTAGAAGAAAATTGTTTTAGCAGAATTTACTTACTGATTTTGTGAAAATTATAATCCTTTTTACTGATGTGTTTATACCAAAGTTTTTTAGTTGACCAAGAGATACCTTTTTCATCAAGATATTGAAAATACTCTTTACTAGTCGGAGATAGATTTTCGAGTCCACTACATTTACTTTTCATTTCGGTCTCGATTTCGCCGCCTAAAAAATTTGAGCCGCATACATGTCCAAGAGCTTTATAATTGTTTTCCATATCGAGCTCAGGACGAAGGTCATCGTAGGTTAGGAACTTCTTACACTTTTCATAAGCAGGAACAACACTTGCCCCATTATTCAAATCAAAAACAACGCCCTCAAATTTGCCGTACTCGTCTATGACGATGCGATCAGGCCCATGCCTCACTGCCATATAGGTAAGCCTCAATCACAAGAAATAAGAAGAGGATTATTTGGCGTTACGTACTGCCACCACGGGCATGCTTGAAGTTTCGGAACGGAACCAGGAAAAGATTTTTTTTCTCAATACCAAATAGTTTAGTATCCTCAAGCAATGCCGGATAAAAATAGTAAGGATTCGCTGGTGTCAACAATTTGGATGCGAGCCGTGCGACCTCTATAGCTTCATCATGCCACACAGCAAGGTCACCACAGATGTATCCCCTTACATCGGATTGCATGGAAACTTCCAGTAACGTAGTGGCAGTAAAGAGAATAGCAAGCAAGTGTCTTAATTTTGCTGTTGATAGGTATACTGAAATCCACATCTAGAATGACGACTTTGATGTTTGGTAGTTTTTTTTTCACTTACATTAATGGGGAAGGAATCGTAACCGTATTAAGGTATTAGATTTGTTAAAACCTAAAATGCCCACTTCTTAGTCTGATGCTGTGTAAATTGTCAAGCCGTAAAATAAGAATATTATTACACTCCCTTCTGAGCCTAAGACTATGAAGGACTTGTCAAGCTGTAAATTGCCGTCCAACTGAATCAGCCTGAGACAAAATCAGGAATGACCTCGTCGCTACAGCCATGGAATCTAATTAACGAAATTGCAATTCATGAAATTACTGACAATTGCGCGTATATAGGTAGATTTTGTTAAATTGGCAATCGATTCGATTCGATTGGAATTGGATTGATGTGATTTTCATTTATTTTCTTGGCCTTTGGCCCGAGTGATCATGCAATCTTCTGATAAACTATAATTGGAATTCGATGTATTCCTCAATTCCTAATGTGCACATCGTGGAACCTAATTGTGTCGCAGGTGTGACCACACATGAATGGAGATATTTTTAAATTTTCTCCAAGGGCCAAGGTTCACTCAAATTTAGCAAAACCAACTAAGTTGGCGCACGAGGTAATGATTAATTACTCTTTACCAAATCAAATTTCTACTCCCATGAAGATCGACCCCACTAAATCCTCATCGAGTCTTCAAGTACAACCTAGGACTTCCTCGTTTCTATGACCTCGACTCTTGTCAACTTAGTTTCTGGCCCGAAATGGCCTCCACATACACGCCCACAAGAATATGAATACCCGCCGGGTGACCAAAATCGTGGCGCACGAATCCGGGGGTAAGATTTTCGGGATAGAATTAAGAGAAATATGGAGAAGCGGACATGATGATAATGACTTTTGAAACAACCATGAAAAGACTGGAGGTGTGGCAAGGAGTTTTCAAAATGAGTTTTGCATGTGCCAAGATTTCGAATTTGAGAGTCGTGGCGACACTATAAATACCTCCATGGCTGGATGGTGCGGTGGCACATCATCTGGGCCGTTGTAACAAGAAAATTCTACATAGCTCGGACATACATCCCACTCGAGACGGAAGACCCCTGGTCCAAAATCGGCAAAATTAAACAGTATTTCTCGCGGAACAGATGTATATGGATGAATAAGGTATACTTGGATAATCAAAGGCCTTGAAACATCCCTTTGGTAGGTATTCACGGAGAAGGGTCGACTATTAGTATGTGTGTATGTATTAATTGTGCTTCTTAATCTATGACTATCTCGCACAATGGGCTCCTCTCTGACGCAGGACACACCTTGTACAGTACTCTTATCTTTTTTTGTTGAAAGATCAATAATAAATTGCTTGTTGTAAGCAGACTTATGCAAGCATAAGTCTGGATCAAGTCTCAAAACATCTGCAGCCCCAGCCAGGCGAGGCCTAGACACCGGGACCACATGAGGTGCGCATAATCATCTATATCTCCCTTCTTCGTAACATTCGAGGCCGACTTGATCTAACCCGCCATCTCAGTAGCGGGTGCTAAACACGCCCCGGAAACTCATCGGATAGCTTCTCCTTCATGATCAAGGGTTGGTGATGAAAAGGGCTTCGATCCTACTGTTGTAATCTAACGCTTTTCATCCTCGGACTTCATGGTGGGAAGTAGTTGTATAGCACGTGATGCCATGCGAGGGGAGAAGGAACAGGATGGCGAAAACCGCTAGCAAGACCTAAGTGTTCTGGCCCACTTTTAGATAGAGAAATCCTTTTTGTATGTAGAAAATACAACCCTAACTAGTACAACAATAATAGTGGAGGGCGAAGACTGAACACCTGTTTGTGGTGCCCTCCACGAACCTGGGAGTGAAATATTCTCCCAGAGCCGAGATTTAGTCACGAAAAAGGGCGGGATGAATTATTTTGATGGATATTCGACTTGAAGGAGTTGCACTCGATATTTTGGTCGAAAGATGTTGAGCAAAGTTATACTAATATGAATCTTTCTCAGAGTTTATTAAATTGATTGTCATTTCTGAGGATGCTATCTTAGTTCTTAAATACATCTTTTAGATTATTCTCATAATTTCCTCCCAATATTCAGATATAGCCCAATAATTACAATTATTTATGCAAACAGCTCGTATTCCCCTTCTTTACATGGTTCTAAAATTGGTCCTGTTTGTTCCCTTAATAGCAAATTATAAGTGGAAAGTATAACCAAGCATAGTAAAATTAATGCTGTTTAATAGGAGATTAAGTGACTCGATTGTAATGACAAAATACAAAATACAAAATACAAATGCTAGCAGAATTATGCATAGGTAGGTGGGAATCTATCTAATAACATATGCATGACTCGAATATAGCCAGTGACGCTTTAATCTTGTATTTAAATTGCATACAGATTAACAATCTTTAATGAAGGTGATTCTTTATTTTGATGTTATGATATATTATTCGACAAAAGATCAGTCGGCAGAGATTCCACAGCCGCAACATAGTCATTGAAAAACTCATCACCACCAACATACGATTCACGAATGGATTTAGGTCTGTCTGGGGGTCGTATTCAAACATCTGACATCTCTCAAACTCCTTATACATTTGCGACAATCCATTTCTCAATCGATCCTACACCTGCGACCTACCTCCATACTCGTCCGATCACCAACCTATACACGCCCTAATAAGGAAAGTCATGATGGAAACGGGACGTGTACAAAGGAGGAAGAAAAGGGAAGATATACCGAGGGGATTACACAAATCCCCAATGACGTTAACAACCCGACGTCACAATATGAAGGTGCAAGGCTAAAGCAACGACGAGATCTTGGATGGTATTCATATTTCGGAGTCAATCAGGATATCAAGGGCTCGGGCGCGTGGTGGCCGAGGCTCAGGAGGAATTTTCGCCATGGCGTGTCAATAGTGGCTTTCTGGACGGTCAGACTTGGTATGATTCAACACATAGGTGAAGTCTGAGGTGGTCCGGTCATTTAAGTGGGACGAGGTATATCTGTTCTTCGCGGTTGTTAACCTGATCCGGCCCGGCCCCGCCCGTGCTTAAGCTCCAGTAGGAGTGCAGCGGTAGTTAATTTACCTAGTATTAGAATATGATTCCTTTAGTCTGGTAATACAGTAGTACTGGAAGTAGAATTGATAAAGTATAGGGTTAACAGCACGTGTACATTACTCTGCTCACTCAACATTTTGGAAATACTGCGACTATGCTCCTACTAATATGTGTCTACCAGTCTCGCCTACACGCTAATATGAAACTACTATAAAAGGTTATGAGGTTGCAGTGATGGAAGGATTGCATTCAATTATAGAATTTATGGATGAGGACCGATATGATGATTGATAGATAGATAGATAAAAAGATAGATACAAAAAACACATATATGTAACTGCAAACAACCGGGCAGGCAGGCCTCTTTTCTTTAATATTACTTGGCTGCCCAGTAACAGTCAGACCTATGATAAACAGGCAATAGAATGGTAAACAACAAAGTAACCATGGTTACACATGTTGTAATGGAAGTTGTATAGAGTTGCGTAAGCTGTTAGGCTTGTGTTTAATATCACCTAGTGAAGCTAGTTGGGAGATTGAAGAGTCTGAAAACTATAGTGGAGAGTTGTTAATTAAGACCACTTAGTGTCTCTTAAAGAGAACGTGTGACACGGTTTATGGATTGTAAATGTTAACTTATGAGGTCTACTGCTACAGATGAAATCTATGTACTGCTGGGAAGGTCATGTGACGTGACTAGGTTAGTTTCCATAAATAGGTGAAATTCAACCCTTTGACACACCCCCTCACCTATGAAACCTCACATAATTTATTATACGCAGCCAAAGTAGTCATGTTAAGTTGTCTAACAAACCCTTTAAAAAGAACTGGCGACAAGGCCTTTGTGAACCCATCTGCAGCATTTTCTAATCCTGATTTCCACTCCAATTCAACAATTTTGTCACTTATATATTCCCGGAGTAGGAACATAGGTACATCGTAGTGTTTGCTCTTTTGAGTGACGCCCTGTCCTCTTACTTGGTTGTAACCTGGCTGATTGTCATAGTAGATACGAACTATCTTTGCATCATCTGAGTTATAGTTGATACTGCGAAATAGATTGCGAAGGAACACAGCCTTCTTGGCTGCTTCGCCCATAGCATAGACTTCGGCCATAGTTGAAGAACAAGTGACTCTTTTCATTTGATATGAGCGCCAAGAAAAGCAGGCACCTTTCAGAAAGAAAGCCTAACCTCCATGAGAACGCCGTGTTTCAGGGTCTTGAGCATAATCGGAGTCAGTAAAACCGTGAAGACTTGTATTAGAGCCTACACCAAACCCAAGACCGAGACGAGTAATTTTGATGAGGTAGCGGTAGAGATGACGAACTGCTGATATATGAATTGCAGATGGGCTGGAAAGAAATCGACAGAGCTGCGTCATGGTATAAGCAATTTCTGGTCTCGTTTGAGTAGCAGCATACATCGCAGAGCCAACCATCGATGCGTATAGCTCAATTTCCGCTGAAGAGTTAGTCCCTTGAAAAGGCACAAGATGTTGGCCGGGTAGCATTGGTGTATTTGTTGGAATACATTTATGGAGACTGTACTTTTCAAGAATCTTCTCAAGATAGGCATCCTGATGAAGATAGAGGATTCGTTTTACGCAATCGCGAACAATACGGACGCCGACATAGAACTCCGCAGCGCCAATATCCACCATCTTGAGACCATAGAACGACTTCTTGAGTTTTCACATCCAGCAGTTAAGCGAGGAGCCATCTGGAGTACGCAGCCCGTCTGGACATGCCATGTATATGTCAGTGTCAGGGTTGAAAAAAGCGGTTACAACATCCATCTGATCGACTTGCCAGTCATTGAAAGCGGCGAGAGCGAGCAAAGCTTTCCAAACGCTAGAGAGAGCTGTACTGGCAAATGTGTCTTTGTACTCTAAGCCTTCCCTTTGATGAAAGCCTTTTGCAACATAACAGGATTTGTAACGGGTA